CTTGACTTTTCAGATCGAAGAAGTTCATTAACATCGAGATCAACAACAACAGAATTTATACAAAAAGGTGTTCGATTTGATATGCAAGCTACTGAATTAACTATGCCCATCGTAATCACAACTCGTATTTCAGAAGACGTTACTGACAAGGTGGTCAATTATGTTTTAGGTAACGTGGTCGTAAAGTTATCAAACATTGCGACATAGCCTTTTGTTTATATCATTTTGAACTCACTTCAAGGATTCGAAGTGAAGAATTTTCCGAGATACATGTTTCGAGAAATAAAAGATAAAATCATAAAGTGGATTCCTTTTTGATAGATCATTGATTTAGCGTACTCGTAAGAACAAAATGTAAAGTTCTTCTATAGTGTAAGACTTAGAATATATGTTCTCTAGATTTTAGTACCATGACGTTGGCACAGACGCCCGACGAGTAATAGCTTCTTCATTGGACCGTTGGCATTTTTGGCTTAAAAGAAATCATTACTTACGTATACTTTGTGTGCCATCTGAAAGCGAGTCAAGCCAACGATGCTCTTTTCGCTGTCTCTGCTTTTCATATTCGTTGATTCGTGCTTGATTGGCTACAGCCCGACAACAATCCGCATATCTGAATGGAAGAAACAAAGTGTATATAGTGCGCGTTAAAAATAAGCTTATAAAAAACAACAACTTGCTTTTTCGTATGCAAGAAATATTCCAATTTTGTTGTACTCTTTAGGGTTTCCATAGCTTCACATTCACTACGTCCTGCTATTGGAATCAGCACACCAGCCATATGTTCATCAAGTTTCACTCGTTTAACTATAACAAGAAATAAAAAAAAAACGGAAACTCTTCTATTTCGGCTCCTACCTTGTCTTGCAGAAGTGTTGTGTATTACAGGAGACTCCACAACGGGTTCCTGATTGAGAATTTTTTTACAGGATTAACTCTGGAATGTACCATATTCGATGTACTGACGTCCTAAAATATGAACATGTTGGTAAAAGTATTCATCTATGTAGTTCATTGCGCGAGTCCTCGGTGATTCTCAAGATCTACTTTCAAACTAATTAGTTCGTCACAGGGTGCATATATATATGAATTAACCTCTTTGCAGAGATTCCTTATGTGTCACAATTTCCGTGTTGTACTAAAGTTCAACAGAAACAACATTTTACATTCTCTATCGTATTTGATGTCTGATTTTTTTCTATAGTACTCCTAGCTAACATTTCACGAACCGCACTTAATGGGATAACCAAATTATGTAAAAGTCATCCTTGCTACGTTGTGTTACTAAGCAATAATATTTTCATATACCAAAAAAAAAAAACTAAAGATTTATTGTGGAGATAAAGCGCGTCACTCTTCGTGTACTATATCAAATATTGTCGTGGTAGGTACGACAATATTCATCCATTAATACATATCCAAATCATTCCGACTCAATTCCAGACAACGAGAAAGAAGGGTACAATAGGATTATCCTAAAACATTCTAGTATTCACTTATGTCATAAATATCGTCTCTCATTACTAGCATCCGCACATTAGTGCATACTATTGACATATACATACACATACTTTCCGATGAAAATAAAAATTAAATTTTGTTTTTAATTAGTAGAAAAAACCTCTGTTAGCAATGAATTACACAAGCAATCAGCTATTTATGTACATGTCTCGCTGATGAGGTCGTCTAAATTTCTTTAGCTGTTTATATATATGCTTTAAAATTTCGCAGCCGTTTAAATGATTGCCTCTATAATTAAACATGGCATATGTACTTATATACTTTCATAAATCTGTCAATCGTTAATATATATTTTAGTCTTTCATACTTCTAGATATCGACCCCAACGAGACACATATAACCGGGGACTAATAGTCACACTGTTGACTTTAAGAATTTTCTGCAAAGTGGTCGGTGCAGTTCACGTGACACTAGTTGCCGATCACTGAATAATACTTATATTTAGAAAAGAAGGACAGTGTGCGCTATGCGGCGGTAATATTGATTAACTCTGTATGCAGGAAAGCTAACCATCGGCTGACACTAAAGTGATTTTCATCCTTCATTTCATATCACCATCAATGTTCAAAACGATAAGTATTTAACAAAAAAAAATAACATGTTTGTGGTCATGTAAAACATGAAACTATCCTGTAGATATATACTGCTAACTACCAAATAATTTTTTGAATTGAACAATATTCGAGTTGGTGTTTATTAGTATGCAGTATAAAAAGAAAAAAGATGTGACTCAGTTGCTACAACGGTAATCAAAGGTTAACCATTTATGCAATGCGAAAATAGTACGACAACAGTTTGAGTAGCTCTGTAAAACTTAAAAATTTGTACCTCTATTCCAATAAATCTTGCGATGTTTTAAACTCTACAGAAAATTTGAATTTCTATGGAAATACTTAAATAGCTGTGTAAATAGAAAATAAGTATGCAAATAGTAAAAATAGCTATGCAATTATTTCATAGCTTGACAGGTGATTGTAATGCGATAGGGGGACTTCTTTAGTTGAGTGTTTTCCTGTTCATTTTTCTTATAGAAAAGTGTATCTTTTTTCATGAATTTGCGGAACCGATACGTGTTGTTTCTTTGATAGATATGCTGATGGTTACCTTTTTTGATGTATTCATTCCATGCCATATCTTTGGTTGTAACCCGATACTGCCGACGTGTTGCTAATTTAAAATCAAAGAAGGGAAAATGTAAACAAGGATATAGGAGAATAGTATTTTCTAGCTATTTTAATTTCACTTACATGTGTATTTGTCGCGGAATCTATCGGATTTATCAATCTTGTGATTGAAAATGACTTGCACGTTGAGGCGTCGTTTTTCATTATCCAGTTCAGATCCAATACAAACGTATTGCAACTGACCTTTCTTTATCTCATTTGAGAAATATTTTTCAATGGCAGACACAATCATCTCCTCTTAAAAGAAGAAAACAAAACCGGTCACTTAATGTAAATGTCTACAAATGAGGGGTAGTAAACAACCAGATACGAAAGGTTTTGCTTATCACAAGCAATATTCATTGCTTTTTTTTCGAATCATTAGGCCATGGTGTGACCGAATGATGTCGAAGATATACTTCTATCTTAAATAAAAGTGAGTCTTGTATGATGACCAGTTAAGGAGAAATTAATAATCTTTATAACTTGTTCTGTATCATATACTATACATATATTGAGAGAGTTCATATGAAACATTGAAAGATACTAATGTATGTAATCAATTTTATGTCCTAGTGCATGTTAAGGTATAAAAATGGCGAATTTTTGTCAAACTTATGTGATTTCTACTACACACATAACCACTGGTCAAAAGAAACATGCTTATTGGAGTGATGTGATGGAAAACTGTTCATGAGAATTTCAAAAATGGAATTCAAACAATATTGACTAATTTCTCATACTGTCTATCAGCTTCCGTAGTTTTGATAAAAAGATATTCCATGTGGCATATTTTTCTTGATATTTTCACAATGAAACACCACATGAAGTGCTTTATTGTTAGAAACGCAAAAGAATTTAGACAATGTTTGATATTCGTTGTTCATTTTCAAAGTCAGTTTTCGAAATTCGTCTTATGGATTTTCTAGTGAATCATTTGCAATATAAGCATAGTCAAAAGTACCATAGAAATACTTAAGTGTGTTATGAGAACGGTGAAGTGAACAACCACAATTCTCATTTGTGTAAAGCAGAGGCCAATTTTATGAAATAAATACTCATCAGTATCATCAAAATGGTACTCATATACCTTCAAAGAACTTATTTCTAACTCGACTATAGTACATTCTCTCATTAAAATCTTTCTTTGCACCAATTCTTAGAGATATAGAGACGGAGATGAATTTGAGTTTCTAAATTCTATCTATCCATTGCAGGGAATATAGGATCCTTCCAGATACCTCCTCAGTGAGCTTGAACACTATCAATAATATTCAGTTACTTCATTTTTTAATTGTGACTTGTGAAAGTAGAATAACATTTTACGTTATCATAGTATTCGAGTTCAATGATAACTGTTTTTGATGACATTCAACGTATGTAGTATATACTATTTGATGCTTGATATGAATCTCTATTCCCAACAATATTTTTTTTTGTTTTTTGTCTCTTTTTGAATGTGTTCTCGCATTTTCAATACGATCTAAGTACCTATATGTTATCAAAGCAAAGTAAAATATATGATCAGGACATCAAAATGAAAGAAAAAAACGCCTGCCTACACTATGATTATTAGCCATTGTGCCTAGCGATTCTTGTTATTCCTTCATCAAAACCAATATACTGAATGTATGGATGCCAATTTTCTCAGCTTCCAAACGTTCATATTCTGTTTTGTCGAAATTAATTATGACGGTATGTTGTGTGACTCGGTTCTATGGCTTGGATTTACCTTCATTGAATCAAGTAGTATATAAAAAAAATCTAACAATATCGTCTTCGAAGAATCGGAATTATTTCACTGATGATTTGATGTACTTTTAATGAAGAATGTGTGAGGGAACTGTTAAAGTCGATGAATTTATTTAAACGATGTCAAATTACTTATTCACAAAAACGAGACGAAAGTCATCATTTCTTACGTTTTTAAACTAGATGATATAATTATCAATCATGGTGATATTCATACTCAATAGGCCTCTTGCATACTACAAAAAAAAAAGGATTAAAGAAGTATCAATTGATGAATCATCATGCAAATTACGTTTGATATGCATTAGAAACTACAGGTGCGACTACTGTGGATAAATAAACACTGCTTACAGCTGAACTACGATGTTTTTTTTCCTGTCAATTGCTTTTTGATCAGATTGTGACTTGGCATCTGCTCTACAACACATGACGGTTGCAACCACAAGAAAAAACATAGGCTGCTTATTTTCCTACCATTGTCAGTGCCAGTAGAGTAAGAGAGTGAAAATTTATCTATACTTTTGTTTTGTTGTATATCAGTAATCCTACAACAGTATTTTCACATCAGAAAAATAAGACTAATATTAAACAAGATAATGCAAACGAGCCATTCGAAGAAAAGAAAAGTGATCTTACTTGGTGCATCTCCGACGCCTGAAAGAGCTATCGCTCGTGCATTCATACGGTCGTTAGGATTGTGGCACTTTCTTCTACGACCATTGGTTTGTTGTTGTTCCGTGTCTTCGATTAGTGGATCTGGTTCCAAATAAAAAGCGAATTTTGTTCGCAGTGTATTAGCATCTAAAATGACGGAAAGAAAGTTTAGCACAAGAATAAAGTAAAGAAATTTTTTTTTTCTTCTTTTTTCAAATCAAAATATATTATTACCGAAAAGACCAAACTCAAAGTAAGGTCGATCATGTGGATCAATAAGACTATGTCTATTTGTTGGTGGATACGGTCGTTGATTTGGTTTCCAAGCTAATATTGTTGTAGGATTAGAAGTCATTATTCAATTGATATTGTACTTTTATCCTATACGGGTCCAGTATATGAATATAAAGAAAAGATCATTTGTTTAAATTTTTTTTGATGATAACTACTTACAATGAATGCTATATAATAATCGAAAATTGATTATGCTAGTGGTAATGAGTATGTATGTGAGAAATGATATTTATCTACAATAGCAAACAGTTTCGGAGAAGATTGAGCAATACAATCGAGAATCAAACTTTTTATTTACACTGATGCAGAATCTATAGTACATTTAGCAGCAATCATTGTCTTTTATAATATATGGAATTCAAAAATTGTATAGAGTAAGTACCCAAATGATTCCACAAGGTTGATATTTAAATTCTCTTCATTGTGTTCAATGCTAGCAATATTTCACAGAATGATTCTAGTAGAGACTATTGTTTCCAACAAGAGCATAGGTAAATAAAAATTCTAATAAAATTCCCCAGCAGTGGCCCTCCAGAAAACGAAAATGTTGATTTTTCAGTATCTAGAGTAGCAAAATATAATTTTCTTCAGACTGTCTATAAGACGAGAGTAAACAATTTTCTATAAAATGGGACGTCCCCTTGATCTCTACGGCGTTTTCGTCATTGCGATACAGCACTCTTATGGAACCGTCTGAAGTTCATTTTTTATCATTTTTTATGGAAAAACTAGTTTTGACCATACGGCCAAGTTCTTGTGCCTCATTGAAAAACGCTGTGGAGATTTCGGAACGTCTCATTTCGTAGAGAATGGTTTACTCTCGTATTATACACAGTCTGAAGAAAATTATATTTCGGTGCTCTATGTGCTGAAAAATCAGCATTTTCGTTTTCTTGAGCACCAGTGCTAGGGAATTTAATTAGAATTTTAAATTTCTTGATATTCTTGCTGGAAGCAATTGTCTCGAATAGAATCATACTTTGGAATATTTCTAGCGTTGAAGACAATAAAGAAAATTTAAAAACAAAACCTTGCTGAATAATTTTAGTTCTCATTGTATCTATGCGCATATATATTTCTCGTTTACAATGAGACCATGATATAGAAAAGAAAAATATGTCGAGCAAAGGAACACCAAAACGAAAAGATACGAATGTTTATTAGGAACTATTAGCATTCACAAATTTTTGTTGTTATAGCAACTATCAAAATGGGTGTCATTTATGTTTATATGATGGAATTATTTCTAAGCATAGTAAGTTGATGAAACTGTTGAAATTCAAAATGTTTGGAAAAACGCTTATTTAAGAAAGGACTAGTTTTGTTTAACAACTAGAAATGATCCATCAAGAAAAACAGTTATACAGATAAATAGCAAAGAATAGAGGAATGACAAATTATAACATTCATTTCACTCAATAGGAACTGTTGTTTCTATCATTTACACAATTAAAATGTGCTTGAATTGTACCATGGCATTCATGGAGAGTATTGCGAGGTCAATGTAAAAAATTGTCCACCCTGTAAAATCAGTTTATATTTTATTCTCGATATAGCTGAATACAATTTAGTCGTTCAAGGATCATGTTTATCAGCGAATATTACATTGACGCAATTCGACTGAAATTCGTTTCTATGATGAGAGTTCGAGGATTACTTGTTTGAAGAAACTTTTATTATTTTCCTACACAGGTTTTCCATAAATATCTATGACAACTATCTCACGGCCACTAACATTGCTGTCAGCTATTAATTGCCGTAAAAAATTCAAACAAACTTTGGCTTTTTGTGAACTCTTGGAAACGGAATTCATCTGCGCGAGCAATTTACAAAGGATCTTTATTGAGGTGTGGTTTTTTTACTTAATGACAAATGAGTAAAATACTATTGATATTCATGATGAAAGCTTTTTTTCCTACTAAAGTTTGTTTTACCCTAATTCTCTTTAAAGAATTTCGTAGTGTAGATGGTTACGAGATATAAACCTGAGAATTTTCCATTGACGAAATATGAACTGTATTCAAAACAGACCACATGAAACGTAAATAGTTATCAACACTTTCTTTTTCTCCGATCAAAGCTGTGTGTCATGTCGAATGAATTGATTATGTTTACGAAGCATCACTGAAATTTTACAGGCTAATGTCAGTCTAAATAAAAGATATCTCAAGTTGACATTTTGTGCGCAAGTGTCATGACCAGTTTTAGTCAGTTTTAATAGAATGTGAAAAGCCACTAACACTTAGCTTATCCTTTCATAAAGAAATGTTAAAGAAAAAATCAACTTCTCTCATCAAAGTCTTTCGAATTATGTACATCATGCAACTGTAATAGTATATTGAGAATGGAAGCCTAAAGTAAGGATTCCAGCGTAAAAGTCACAACGATCAGGTAAAATGATGTTTCTTTAAAAAATAACGCTCGTTTCGAGTACAGGATATGTTTTAGTTATACAGAAGAGGTAATTATATCAAACAGCAATAGATCAAACCTATTGCGTTGCAAAACAAAATCGAACTATGATTTGAAAACAGAAAAAACTCGAAGGGTAGTCTATTCCTTTTCAGTGTTACTTGCCATGATTTTATAGCCGAAATTCTATTTTTCTTTCAAAAATAATATGAGTTCACCGATCATATTACCACAGAATGTGACGCAGACTAATAAATGAATCTTTCTTAATTATTTGACACTCAACGTATGATATGAGCTTTATGTTGTAGGTATCGGTAGAATTGAAATGATGAACTGATTCACAAATGAATTGATTGATCAATTGATCCATACAACCTGTCGGTTTTTCGATAAGAAAATGAAGAACTGAGAGCAGTCATCTATTCTCCCGTCAAGGAAAGCATTTGGCACGATGAGTCATTGAACACAATTAAAGTACCCCATGCAGTCAGATTCAATAAATGCACACCAATGCGACGTCTCAGCCCTACTTCTGTATTTTTCTTTTCCTCTTGATAGTCTTACTCTCTTATTTTTGAACTTCATTACAGTTTTATCTGCTTCTTACCATACTCCCTAAAACATCTCTCTCCTTGTGGCTTTTTTTTCCATGTTAGTATCTCGAAAAAACCTAACCCTCGTATTGTCTGTTGCCTTGAAAGCCTCACCTCTTTTTGCTCTCACCTACTCAAGGCTCACATTTTATAATCTTCTCTTTTAAAGTTTTATTTGTGCTTTAACTTGTAGCCGTTGACTCGACACTGATAGACACAGACATGGAATATGTATATATAAATATATGGATTCTATCATTCTTTTTCTTTTCGATACTTCGGATATGGCTTTTGAGAGAAACGAACTAAATCCTCGTGTCAGGAAACTGTCACAAATTCAATGATTACGTAGAATCATAATTTGATTTCTTTGTAGACAGCAAGAATATTTATCATTTGATGTCTTTTGTTGGAATTCAATATTACATAAAAATCAATAAGCAGCTAAGGCCTCATCATGTAGATGTTTTTACTTATATTACTTCTTGGTACTGCTCTGTCAGTGCGATAGCTATAAGAGTCAACCGTAGTAACCTTACGCACAAGTATTTTGTGCTATGTCTTATTATGAATACGAGTGAACAAGTCGCCGTATGTATATATATCTATACGTCACAAGTAACGTTCATCGACATCAAAAGTCGATTCACTGGACCCGAGAATGACGAAATGAAGAGAAGAATGTGCCTCACATTGAGCACCCAGATTCAATGAAGGGACTAGCCTCCCTCATCAACTACTCGCCGTTCTATACATGCATCTGAAACAACATAATGTTTTATGAGTATAAACCGTTCTCGAGGACTAGAATGGTCGTTTGTGTCATGGAGATGGTTATTCGTGCCACAGAAATGGTTGTTTATGTCATGGAAATGGCCATTTTCAGCACGAAAATGGTCATTTGTACCGCAGAAATGGTCATTTGGACCAAAAAAATGGTACTTTTCTACCACGAAAACCGTTATTTGTACAGCAAAAATGGTCGTTTGTGCCATACTTGTTACAGACAGACATACACAGGTGAATTACGGTTTCAAGACCTTATCCTTTCAGTCTGGGGAACACCCATGGGGAAAGCTCAGAGAGAATATATGTAATCACTGAACCTCAACGACCACCTACAAAGATTATGTCCATGGCCGGAGGAATGGTCGAACACCACTATACTGACGCCTCCTAGCACATTGGACAGAAACGCATGTCATATAAGTAGACTGATATTCGTGGGTCGATGTGGATAAAATCAACGTATGATTATAGTTATCATGTACACGGACGGGTCAAATATTCATAGGTGCATCATTTGATACATTTCACGAGGTCAGTGATTACGAGGAGCTAAAGATCTACGTATCAGTTTTTCCCTCCAGAAAAGGATGCAATAAAAGTCACAAGCTTATTGATTTTA